GTCTTGATTCACCCTTGTTCTTGTGTTCTGGCCTTAGCACTCTACAGTACGGCACTCGAGCCTATCTTCTCTCCCCTTCCCCCTCCCCTCTCCCGCCCTTCACAGATTTTTTTTTCCCTTCCCCCACCAACGCCTACGATCGAGGGGGGGAGATATAAGAAGCCCATTTGTCCGTCGCGCATACTCACAGTTTGCAAGAGTGGTTCCGAAAAAAATAATGTGCTTTGTTACTTGTACAAGCACAAGATGCGGTAGTTGTGCAGCCGGTAAAAAAAACAAAGAGGGGGGGGGGGTAGGGAAAATAACATTAGGCACTTACGTCCAGCTCCTCATACGATCTCTTAATGACACGATACCCTGATGCTACATTCGGAGAGCGCGGTGTAAACCGCAGGCGTGCAACCAGCGAATCAAAGCGAAGGCATCGCACGGCAAAGCAGTGCTGACGGCAAGGAGTTTTCCAAGTCTAGAATTTGTCGGCGATATAATTGATCAATAGGTGACTGATCGTGGGTGATCCTACATGAACGGGAATATATGAGTTGTGACATTGAAGCAAGGGACGGGCCTCGATTGAAAAATAATATACGGTAAAATTATCGCTCGTCATGATGCCAGCTGGAAATCACTCGTACCGTGTTTGGTTATGATACTTCACATGTATGATAGCTCCACCATCAGTTCCCCCGGGCTGAGACGCATTTACGGGGACGTGTGGGTTCACCGTCTCAGAGATGTGGTGGTGAACGCCTATGAGATAGCTATCGAGGGATAAGGCCGCGTCTGCGACTATGAGGCATACTGTGCACCGGTGCGCACTTTAACCCTCGAACCTGATCCTGCACATACCGACACCAATGTACGAGTACTGCGGAAACACCTTTCCCCAGACCTCGTTCGACAATACCTCCTACCATCTGTATATGCGAGGGCGCCAGCAGTGGGACATTGCCGGCAGTTGGGGAGCGGAGTCACCGATAGGCCACTTGGGTCTCTAGCTCCCGGTGGGAAGCTGGTGCAATGGGCTGCCGGAGCAATCCCTATTTCTCTGTGCAGAACTGCAGCTATTGCAATGTAACGCGACGTTTGCTAACAGCACGCCTCAACAGGTTCCTGTAGCCTCGTATCACATTGGAGCGGGGACAATTCATAGTGCCGACGACGTGGTAGACAGTGTCAAAAAAGAACTCTGGAGAAAGCGAAGGTACGGGCAAGCTGTACACTGCCTCTGGCCTAACCGTGCAAGTGGTACGAGTTTATAGGGCGCCGTACAACCACGGTACTTGTAACTGCACTGCTCCCAGTACTCGCACAGTACCGTGCTCACCACATGTCCACGCCCAGGACGGCTGAGTTACCCCCATTCCCTCCCCGTAAAAGGTAACGGAATCTCTCCTGGCCACAGGCGGTGTCGGCCTTCCTCTCATTGGCCGGGGCTGACGAGCTCGTGTGTCCCTACCGTGCCTTGTACTCGTACCGGTACTCTACTCGAGCCCGGATGTTAGCGGAGGGAACCGAGGAGGTTACTGAAGCCAAGGCGTTTAATTAAAACCGACTAAACCCGGTAAGAGTGATGCCCGGGAGGGAAGAAGCTCTGTTATTTAGAACTTGCCATCCGTCTCATCACCAACTTCCATACGCCAGCCGAGTGCCGCTCCGTATCCCCCTGCCTTGCGCAATTCGCCAAGTTAACGATCAACGTCTGGCCCTCTCGTGAAGTAAATGCATGAGATTTCCCACCTGCCTGCCTGCTTGCCACCTTCTGCCGCATTTATGTGGTCTAGTTATCGGCTAGAAGGATCGCTCGGAGTACCGCAGGCCCGTGAGCGGTGACGTCGGAGGAGGCGAAAAATTCGTTCGCGCTCTCTCCTTCTGTCTGAGCAATGGGCTCCCGTCCTACGTGGCCGTGTAAAGCCGTCCGTCGTTGTGGATGGGGAACATGTGCTGGCGGCGTGGGGTTCTTTTTTTGGAGGCGAGTCTACGGTATACATTCCCGTCCCTACTCCAGATTGAGTTATTCTATTCACTGACGAAAAATTGGGTACACTCTGCCCTCCCGGTTCCGAAACGGGTTGCAAACTCCTCAATTAATTAATTGCGCTCTGGTCACGGATTCTTCATTGCGGACAAGTTCGGCCGATCGGTCGCTTCGCTCAACTCCCAAGGATAATCTCGATTACGGCTCTGACACTCTTACTGCTGTGACGGATGGAGGCCTCTCCACCGGCCCGCGCCAATGGGCTTCCGGCCACTTCTTCCACTTTTTTCCCTTCCCCATTTTCCCTTAGCCTCGCTTCTCCAGAAGACTGCGTTCTATTGATAACTCCCACCGTGCACAATGTTACATCTATAGCGCGGTACCGTACTGTAGTGCGGTCACCATGGGAGGTTGCTCTACGCAAAATTGCTTCCCCAGGGCCCCCCATCGGATGGCCATTTCTTCCGAAGCCTGTTCTTCTCTACCCACTACCGGGCTGTCGCGTACCGGTATCGCGACTTTATCTCCCACAAGCTGGCTGGAGCGAGTGAATGATCTCGTTTAATAATCAAGGGAACGAGATCCAGGCAAATTCGGCAATCATCAGCAGTTATCCCGGGGGATTTGTCATGCCATATATGCTGCTCCCTTTCTGACTCGACTTTTTAGTATTAAAACCAAAGTACCAACCTCTCTTGTCCGTCAGAGCATCATACACACCATCGGTACGGTACCCCAGGCCGCAGGTACGAGTACGGTACTAGACGAATGCGCAGTCGCGATATGATAAGCTCGGCCGAACGAGCACAGCAGCACAGACGGACCCCGTCCGCGGGAATTTCCGTTGACTCACCTCCCGCCGAACCAGGCACTTCACTCTCGCGTATAATTTGTCATCGCAAAGCTCTCGAATTCATAAAATATCACTCGGCACCGGCGCCGACTCCCTGTACTAGTACTAGTACAGCACCGTATAGTACCGCATTGTACAGCACTGTACCGTAGTCTAACCAGCTGGCCACCAGCCAGTTTGGCTGATGTGGGGGTTCTCGAGCGAAGCCCGGACATTGTTCCGTGCAATCGCTTAGGATCGAGCGTAGCCGACTTTCGTATTGTGCAGTACTGTACAAGTACAAGTAGAGTACTTGGGCAGGTGCAGGATCGAATGTTGGCGACCGGTACTCGAAGAGCGGATCACGGGGAGGAAAGAGGGAAAAAAAGGGTGAAAAAAAGTAAAAAAAAAAGAGATTTTTTTTCTTTTTTTGCTTTCCTTCAATCGGTGCTTACGAGCTCACCAACCACAATGTTGGTCCATAAGGTTGACTCCATTGCATCGTATACAAGTAGTATTAGTTGGACCGGCCCAAGCAAGAAATGCATAACCCGCATATGTGAGGAATTTATTCCAACCCTCCCTCCCTCCGCTCATGATTTTCCGATCATTGATCAACGCCGTTCCTTACTGGATTAGGGATTAGCGGGAGTTAGTGGATGTTGATACCGTATCTCGCAATGTGCCGGTAGCGAGAAGGGGGGGAGAACGTTTTTCAATGAGATTATCCCGGGACAGTGCAACCTGCTCGTCTCACGCGAGGGGTGTCCGAGCACAGAAATCAGAAGGATATAGGGCCAATGATCACTACGTAACCGTCGCGCGGGCGGGTGGAATTATACGCCCAATATTCGGGCACCGCGCGCTGCTGTACTGGTACTGCTCGCCTGGGACCGGTGGCTGTGTCGGTGCGAGGAGCAGCGTGGACAGTGTGTACGAGTAGCCCTCGCTCGACGCCGGGGAAATGCGCCGCTTGCTGGGCCTCTCCGGCCCGTATGATTAGTGAGCGTACAAAGATGGAGGCCGGCCAAGGAGGAAGTGAAGGAAGGGAGGCCTCAATGGCAGCCGATCTCTACCGTTGGGGACGCAGGAGGGAAGGGGTGTGGGGAGGTCAGGTTTATCCCACAACATCCGACCATCGCAGTCCCTCCCCTCCCACCTTTCACCGGCCGCTGACTCGGGAATAGTCTTCTGTGATGGATGGTGGAGCCGCTGTTTCCGCTCTCGCCGATGTTCCCACAGGGTAATCAATGGGCGCTAACGGTTTTCAGAGAAGGACTATGATGCCTTGGATGAGTGGGTGGGTGGTTGTATGGATGGTGTTCTACAGTACTACCGGCATTTGTGTGGTGAGTGGGCTGATGGATTGATGGCACGTACCCGAGGCCCTTTTACTCGAGCAGTTGGTCGGAGATGTGCGGGGTTCTTGTGAATTTCGCCGCGGTATATTCTGCTACTGGGGCTGGATCGCGCATTGGGAAGGGTGAGACTTGGGTGAGTAAATTCACCCGATAACCTCTCGGTGGGTTATGGTGCAGGGATGGGGGAAGCTTTCAGCTTACGGTACTCGAGTACTCGTACATAGGAGCCAGCCCGATTGCGTCAATCTCTCCCACCTCAAAAGATATCTCCGTTTCGGAGTTGTTGGAGGGTACCGGTACCGATACTGTACAAGTACTAGTACTAGTACTGCGCGGAAGAGCAGGTCGTGGGCTGAACAGTGCTTTCCACTCGCAGTTTTTTTCTTTTTATTTTTTTACCTGCGCCTTGTGAATTACCGGTGATGGAAATTGTATTTCTCTTGGGAACAGTTATATCTGCAGACGGGTCGTATTCTCGTCACATATCCAGAGTTCAAGCAAGCAAGAAAGTAGAACCGGCTCTCATAATGGCCTAATGCTAATCACTTCAGGCGCCCCCAGGGGGGGGGGGGGGGGGAATCTAGAGGTTTTTGCTGGATATCATACGTGTACTCGTATACTCTACAGTACTATAATAGTACAGTACAGTCCCCTAACAATTCTCTCAGCCTTGCGGCTTATTGTCCGTGTTTTTTTTTTCTTTTTTTTTCCCCCTTTGCTTCCGTTACAACTTCTCATCCCGATTCCCGTTAAATCCCACCATGTAGAGTGGGGGACATAGTGCACGATAGTCCAATGATGGTGGATAAGCACCGAAAACACGAGAAGGGAAAGGAGATTGATCCGGCATTCTATTGTATGTAGACGAGGTATCATAACTTGGCTGAGAATAAGGCGTGGTATGTAAAGAAAAGAAAGAAAAGGAAGAAGAAAAAAAAAGAAAAAAAAACACGGGAGTTTAGAAAATGCTGACATTAGGTTGAACTTCCCTTTTCACCTCGGGTGCTATGGACTTTTTTTTTATTTTTACGATACCGGTACATGCTCTTCGGTGGGTATGAGGAAAATGAAAACCATACAAAAACCAAAAAAAACAACAACATACAAGTTGAGAGAAATACATCATACTGTGGATAGATAGACCTTGGCGGCGTTGTCGTTACATTCCGTGCGGATGTAATCGTGTGAACTCGCCCGGTCATGAAAAAACCCATTACTGTAGAAGCTTTTTTTTTCTTTTTCTTTTTTTTTTTCTTACTTCTTACTTCTCTATATCGATATAACGAAATGCGAAACGCGACAAAAAGCAAAGAAGTGGAAAATGGGAAAATGAAAATAAAAAATTGAAAAATTGACCACTGACTTTTCCACTGCCGTATGTTGACTGCGGCATTCCACGACGTCACGCCTACCAGTTTTAGGGGATGTAGTCGCGGTAATGCGGCGGTGCGGTGTAGGGTCGTTGAGGGATCGGATGGCTGAAGGTGGGCTCCGGAGAGGCTCGCTGATCCCCAGCGCTGAAGCTCTCGTTCCGGGCATCGATAGCTGCGCGAGTGCCTGCAATTAACCAACCGAACCAGTCAGTAGGGCTCTCAAGGCGCGGATATCCTCAGGCCGGGGGGGGGGGAGAGATTGTCGGCCGTCGACTTACTGTTCGTGCAAGTCTCCGGCTCATCATCGGAGAATCTATTGAAATCCGTCGCCAGTCGCCAGAATCTGAGGGTGCGATTGTTCCACCGAGCTGCTCCAGGATGTCGTGGGGTCAATCCGAGGGAAGCGCCCCGCTCAGCGTTTGCCCAGGTCAGATACCCTTGCTAATATCAACACCTCCACTTATTAGACCAGACGAGAAACACGCGACCGTTTTTCATTATCATTGGAGAAATCGAGAGGGTAAACACACGTGGAATGGTTCCGGGAGCGAGTTCGGGGTGTGGATGTACCATATCCCGTCGACGAGCTGGAGATAGCGTTGATTAGCACCCTTTTACCCAGATTGTCACGGTGGCCCGTGGGGTTCTTACTGTACGGGGAAGGACAGGCAGCGCTTGGGGGGCTAATATCCGCGGCCTCGAATCCTGAGGAGTCGAGAGCACATAGTTCCCCTCCTGCGCGATGCCAGGATGGTCGTCTGGACTTCTGTGCTCTAGTCGCGCGCCAATGGCTGACGGCGCAAAGTTTTCCTGAACGGACGAGGATGCGGCGGTTGAAGGGCCGGCTTCCGAAGGATTCGGCTGGGAGGGTGGCGCTTTCTTGCGCGAGTTTTTACGTTTGTTTGGTCGCTCCTTCGACCGCTTCTTCCTGCCTTGAAGATGTTTGTGTCAGCCTTTCCAGCCCACTTCCCGTAGCATGTCCGGACTCTGCGTTGCGGGGATGGAGGTGGGGAACGGAGCTACTCATGTGACCGATTCTTGCGGACCAGCCACCCGGAGGCGGGTATTCGGGTTGGGATTGGGAATGGAATGGGGCTTCCGATTTGGACGTGGAAAAGGATGGAGACAGCTGATGAAGGGAAAATGCGGAGTGGGTTTTGCTTTTTGTTTTCTTGTCTTGTTTGGTCTCTTTTTTTTTTTTTCCGGGAGGAGTGGATGGGAGAGTTCTGTTTCAATCGTACCAGTCATGGATTAACAAGGGCCTTCGATGGAAGCATATGTTCCTCCGGATCAACTGAAGCTTTCCACACACCACCAACCGCCGGAAAATGTCGAGCGGGCGAGGGAGTTTCTGGGGTTAATTTCTTGCGCGGTAAAATGGGGTAAAGGGATCTCTGTACTCTCTGCAACCGTAGTGCCCGCCTTCATCTAGACACCAAGCTTTAAAAAAAAAACTGGGCACATTGACAATTTTGAGGACAAAACCGTCTCCGCCCGGAAAAAAGCAAAACCCCGAGAATGGCAAGCATATCACTGCATGTCTCAGTGAGCGGCAGGGGTCTGTTAAAGATCAGAGAAGAGCAGAGAGAAAAGAAAAGAAAAAAAAAAGAAGCCGGTGGTTTTGAATGTGCGGTCCACTGCAAAATGATATGACGGGGCGTGAATATTGGTGGGGTCAGGAAAAAAGCCACCCTAACTGACATTCTACCCGAGTATGTGTTTTTGCGTACTGTACTAATGCGAGCGGCAGCTTGTGGACTAGAGCGTATACTCTCTGCTCGACGGCCTGTAGGGCCGGGTGTCCGATAGGTTACCGGTACATTGACTATGGCTGCTATCGTCCTCCCTGAAATCAGGGAAGGACATCAGAGACCTCTCTTTAGGGAGAGACAGGTGGAGAAGAAAAGAAAAGAAGGAAAGAAAAAAAGAAAAAAAGAAAAAAGGAGCGGCACTTAGATCTTGCGTGCAATGGTTTGGCGCTCCACGATATGCGTGATACGAGAAATCTTACCGGGCTTAATATTCGGGACCATTACTGGTACTGTACTGCACTGCACTGTCTGATAGACGGGCGGAATGGGGTTAGCTAGCTCTCGGTACAAGTTTACTCTTACATTGGAATACTTCCCCTCCCTCGGCTCGCACACCCATCCCCCAACCCGGCCAAACAGAGGGTCCGTTTTACAAGTAAGTCCTCCCCCTGGTAGGAGCTCTCCTGCCCCGGAGATATAAGCGGGTGTTCCGACAACTCGGTTGCCAGATGGCCTAGAAGCTTTTCAATTAGCTGGCGGGGATCCTACTTTTTTTTTTGGTTACGGCTTGGGTATCATGCTCTTGTATGATAATATACATGGCACATATGTACTGTACCATACTTGGGTGGGGGAGACTTCCTACGTGTTCCGTGTGAAGTGGGTACGAGTACTGCGGTATCCAGGGTATGGCGGGGTGGCGCCGCAATTGCCAGACTGACCGGACGTATTAAGTACAGTACAGTACTAGTAGTATACCGGTAATAAGTAACTATAAGTAAACGGGCATGATCTTGGCGGTCTCTAGCGAATTTGCCACGTGCGGGATTTCCCAGTCCGTGGCCTGGTCCTATCGCGCATTGCAAATGGGGATAACTTGATAGTTGCTCTTGTTCGAAGCCGAGTCCAGTGCTTTTCGCTCCCTGTATGGATCATGGGGCGCACGAGGGATTTTTTTGTGGAAGCATATGCACCCCAAGTGCTTGCTTGGAGCTCGACCGGTCCGAGAGGTGCCTGCAGAGGGAGTTCTGATGCAGGGATTAAGGATTCCCTTACATCTGGAACGGGTAATAGCGAGAGATTTCGTTTGGCGCTGGCTGCGGGACAGTGTTGAGCTTCGGTCAGAGTTGGATAAACCGGGGGAGGGGTTCGTTAAACTCCAAGCTCCCCCCCCTCTACTAGTGACCCGACATTTGACGTGAGGGATCGGTTCTGGCTTGGGTGGAAATATTGGGCCTCATCATCGCTGCTACAGTACCGATACTGCAGGGGTCTCTTGTAATGAATGGGGTTCGTTCCTGCACGACGAAGGATTAGGATTTGGGGACCTCCCGGAACCCCACAGCTGCACTCTAGTGCCCAGAAAAAGTTTAATTCTTGAGTTTAATTTGGGATTCTCCGACGAGCACTTGAGTTATTGTGCCGTTCACATGCTAGTCGTTTTGAATATAATGCGGTGATATTGTGGTACCCGTAAGAGCGTAGCGCTGGTCGGGGACTAATCAAATAGTCTCTCGGAATTGGAAATGTGGCATTTCCTGGAGCTACATTGGGAGAGAATCTCGAATCCACGGGTAAGGATTTTAGTTTTGGTGCGTGGAGAGTTCGCGGTGAGTTCGCGAAGGGAGGCAGGGGTGGAGCTCACGTAGGTTAAGAACAAAATTTGGCGAACCGCGGTGGCTACCTTGATTCCGGAGGGTCAAGGTGTAATAAAAGTGAAACCAGATGTGCAATTGAGTGCCCTAAATAGCCACTTCTAGTGTACTGTTACGCTTGCGTTAGGGAACGATTGTGTAGCAATACTCCTAGTGCAGAATTCCAACAAGAGCGGTTTCAGGATACCCGAGAATTGGATACTCTACGACCTCAGAAGGACCGGGTTTAAGAAACTCGACATTCTTTGGGGGTGGGTTGGGGGTTCGATATGGGTGGTACTGTAGCCTCGAGCAACACCCGTGATGCCTCCCACTGAGGACAGAATGCGCACATCCTATATTTAAAGCTCCGGTAGGGTAGAGAAGTTTTGTTACTTGCCCTGGTCCTGGAACTGGTAACCGCGTCCACGTCCTGGGAAGAGATTGCCGGTCGTATGAATCTGGGTTTCAGAAATCTCAAAGGTGTCGGAATAGTAAAGGGCAAAGATTATAGAGTCGCATCCTGCTATCATACCCAGGATTGCGCTGGAGGGGATACCTGACTCAACTGTGTGAAAACCGGGTCCTCAAGTTTGACACGGAATTCAGGGCGAGTCTCATCAGCTCATCCATCTAAGGAGACTTTTGGATTCTTAGGGGATGTATTGTATGTGATACATTCGCATAAATAACCGAACATTCCCAACGGGCGGCTCGATTCTCAACCCAAACCTAGAGCCTCCAATAATAAACATCGAAAGGTCTCTCAACAGTGTTAAACAACATGACCAAACCCGTTAACAAGGTTCAGAAAATGCCATGGCATGGTTATGAACATGTAGCATTTAAGAGGTTCTATAGCAAAGGATCTAATATAGACATTAATAAAAATAATTTTACTGGCAAGACTTATTATGTTTTTCTATAATATTTTACTCCAACCCATAACTCATATCAAAAGTCTAGTATTACCATGATTATAGGATAAAAGGAACACTATGATCTCCTTTATCTAACCATTTCTGAAATTTAGAGCTTAGGAAAAGAGGAGAAAGATGATGTTGTAATATTCTCTTTAACTATATTACAACAGGTCACTATACTATAGATATAATTACTTGTACTTGTACAGTATTTGTATAGTCCTAAAGTCACTTAGTCTGTTATTCTACTAAGCTGTCTTATTAGCAGAATATGGTTTCTCCCCAGCACCAGGTATCTTGGCATTTATATACTTTAGTTATTTAATACATATTAGTACTAGTAAAGAGTACTATACTGCTGACGAAAAGATGTACCATATTTTTAGACCTTGCTGCTAGTGAATACCTCCTCAATATAAAAATTTTAGTTGGAGAAATTTATACTATAAAAGCTACTTTTATGACATAAAAGTAGCATACCAAACAGGCTCTTATATTAAAACCTAGTTGGTAACCACCCAGAAGTTTACCTCTTTATTTCTCAATTATTGCCATCTTAGATAAAAAGTATTGAAGGAGGTACAACTTGAATCTCTTTACTACTGTTTTTTATTTTTTTTGAAATATTTAAACCTATTAAGTTATAGATATGGTTTATGGATAAAATTTCGCAACGTTTTATCTGTGTTTCGCTGTGACTTTTAACTCAATTTGTATTTCTATCTATTCGTGAGCATCCAGGTAATGTAGCTCCCTGAGGAAACAGTCCGGACACCACTGTACAGTACCCGGCAGTCACAATAAATTCCTCCCATCCGTTTGCTAGAAACAGGCCGAGGACAGAACTATGTCCAAATTTCGTATAAGGAGCGGCGGTATTCAGGGAGGAAGGTTTAGAAATTCAAAACAATCTGGATAAAGTGTGAAGAGTCTCTAGCGTAGACTAATTACCCTTGCAAGATGTAACAGTTTACACGGTCAGCATGGAGGATACTTATTTCCGTTCTTTAGTATTTTTAAGCCCACAGTCCTGCTTCACCTTAGAGCGTGTCTTTATATGATTTTTTAGGTGAATCTGTATCAGGAGTGAGGAAAATACAAAAATAAGAGGAGTGAACAATTCTTAATACGCTATCCTCGGTCAGTCATGGTCGGGGCCGCTGGCACGGCGGTATAACCGTTGTGAATCATAGAATGCTTGCAGGCAGGATATCTTGAATTTTTTTTCCAGAACTAAAAACTATTATTTTTGTTATAAAAGTGGCCACCAATGATAACTCTTGTCAGTGTACTGTACTCGTACTGTATAAATTTATATTCCCTATTTTATATACTACGTAGTCCAGCAGCCGAAAACAAAGCGTTGATAATTCTCCGCGCCCCACGGGGAGACGATCGTTCTGTGAGCCATTACCCCGACCAGCTATTCTTATGCTATGATGTCGGCGATCCTAAGAAAGCTGCTGGGGTTGGGGTCACATGGAATCTTGTTGACTTTTGTTTCGCGATACTTTCACCTGTGATGGAACGTTTTTCCTAAGGCTACTATTCTACGATCACAGAAACATCACTGCTAGCAGGTCGCTCATTACTAGTAAACTCTAGCGCTGCAGGTTCTCTAGGCATGGACCAAGATAAACTGACCACTCATGGCACTCCGGTCAAAATTCGAATCACATTTACGAATCCAACAGGCTGGAATCAAAAATTTGGACAGACGGACGGGAGCCTTCATTCCTCAACAATATTACAAACAAAAGGAGATTCGCGAAATTCGCACCGAATCGCACATCCGGCTCGGAGGCAGAGCCGGTTCACACCCCTGAGAATATTCCTACCAGCAAACATGCTCAACTAGAACAAATCGAGTCCATAATCGGGCTAGTTGGGCCAGCCACCGGTAGGAGCTATGTAATGATACAAGGTCACTCCAGTCCACAGATATCGAGCACAGAGGCGAACACTCACAGGAACCATAATAAAGCAATCCATCCCCTACCGCCGCATCGAACACGTTGTCCGAGATGATATCCCAGACGGAATCGCCCGCGTCCGCATCGTATGTCAATTGCAAGTACGGGAGGGCGCAACTTCCGAAATCATCTTGGCAACCACCACCGCAGTAGTAACTGTTCGCCCCACACCATCCCTAACATACCATTCATCAGTATTGTGCAGCCCTGCACGAGGAGTGATAGGAAGGCAGGGTACGTTAATTGAGCAGCAAGGACCATCATTCCCTGCACCACACGTAAACGACACTCCCCCGACTTGATTGTTCGGTCCGCACTTATTTGCATGCTCCCCGGTTGTTGGCGACTGCGTACGCTTCACCAAAACGGCCGGCTCCTCATCACGACGCTTGAGCGGGATCCCGGTCAAACTGGCTCCGTAGAATTGAATGGCAACGGGATCTGGATCCGGGTTGGCTGTTGGGTTGGGAACCGGGTTTGCGGCCACGAGGAGCCCCAGGAAGAGGGTGAGGGCAAGGGTGAAGGATTTCATACTGAAATTTTTTTTCCTTTTCCGAGAGGGGGTTTTTTTTTTGGAGGGAAAGCGATAGGTTCAATGGGCCAGGGTGAACGCTATAGCGAGGGGAGAAGTTATGGCCGGGGCATGAGAGGGGGTTTAAATGCTTGCTTGCCTGGTGGATTATTGTGGCAACACCTGAACAGAGCTATCGTAGTCTCTCACAAATGTCTCAATGATCTCTTTGACAGCTGGTTATCCCTCGAGCGCTACCGGAAATTCCACTGCTAGCAAAGTGAAGACTCGTGACTGCCTTCTTTCTTTCTCCATAGGCAGTAACGAGATTGCACCTCCCGAGGCTCAAAGAGCCCCTTAGACGCTCCGGAAGATTCTGGCCGGTATTCACATCTCCTTTCAACACTGCTCTCCCATGAAAGGTTGACCTTCCCGAGCGCTAGATCTATTATGGAGGATGGTTGTACGGACGAGTAGTTGAATATTTCCTATTCGGGTTCTCAATGGTTAACGACTTTAGCTCGTAATGCCCGGCCTTTGATGGAGTGCTTCCGTGGTTCGCTAGATGGAACAAATAAAAGGGCTACTGAGTAGTGAAGCTTTGTCCTGTGAGATTTTCGGTGGGGGAGCAGATAGCATGGAAGGCATTCTTTGGGTGCCGGTGGTGGTGAAGGTAGTCGCGGTTATGGTCAGGGCTGAAGGGTTGGATTTGTTGCTCTGTTGCAGCGGATGTTCTCAGGCCTCCCACATCCCGTCACTACGCCAGAGAGATGGGCGGATAAGGTCTCAGTTCGAACCTCGAGTACAGTAATTTATTTCCAGTTGAGGAAGGATACTTCCCAGATCCCGCTATTATCTCAACCAGACTCTCCAGGCGCATTAGTCGGCCAAGAGATAAATTAACTTTGGAATAGGGTTGGGTTTTCCTGGTCAGCTTCGCGGGGGTCTTGCTTGAACAGTAACTTTATTGAGCGTTCCGTTGAGAGGGTGGCCTGCCACGATTCAGATAGATGGTGTGCAAGCTCGGGCATTGCAGCCAGGAGGGAATCGAGGGACTTGAAGCATACAACAAACTTGGGATGAATTCTCCTGGCATAACAGCCCAATTTGATAAACAAAGGAATATCATGATAGGCAGTAATTTAGTCATGCTGGTTTAAACCTCAACAGATTCTTCCACAAGGTCTTCCTACCGCATCCCCGGGGGGTATACCTACCCGTACAGACGGCAAATCCTACTGCTTGTCTTGAGTATCACTCAGTCTCGGATGTTTTCTTTTTTTTGTTACCATTCAATACGAGGTCGGTCGCAGCCACCGTATCCAGAGACTGGCAGTATTCGGTGAAGAGGATCCAGTAAAGTCGGTGGGTGTGATAGTACCCATATGTGGGTCAGAGAAATCTCTCTAGTGATCATGAATTCAACCAAATGTCATAAATTATTAGAAAAACTTCCATTCTGCCCCCTTTGGGTTTCTCCAGGCGCTCTCCAAAAAAACAGATGCAATCAATAACTGTGAGCGATATAGGCTAACACGTAGTAGGGATGCCATTAAATTCTTGGTAAGCTCTGAGTTGGTGGCCGGGCTTGCCTCAAAAATAGCGTTACGGGTACTGTTTTGAAAGGTTCCTTTATAACGTGCGGTCCGCAGACTCGACCTTCTTGCTTTATGAAAACATTTATCCTCGATGCTAGTGGACCGGCACCTCTGGAATCTTTGCCGTTGCTGCTGATGTACAGTACACAGGGCGAAGTACTACCAGTATAGGCTGTCCCAGAGAGGGTGAGGAAACAAAAGAAATAGACCTTGGGGCTTAGTGCATTGTGCTCCTCGCAACCGCCGGTACCGCAGAGGGAGGTTTTCCGTACTATAAACGGTATGTTCCGTGCGCTTCGCTCTCGTCAAATATCACGTATCATACCAGTGCCCCACAGTACGGTACCCTCTCTCCCGGGGATCCGGGTCTCACCGGTAAGTTCCAAGCAATTCTACAGTTTTGTATCGCACAAGACCACACGGACCGGCACTGTATGGATTCGATCCACCCTGGGACTCCTGTCTGCACTTTTACCATCTACGTCTCCGCCACGGCAGCCGGCCTCACTTCTGGATCCCATCACTCATATCCGTTTCCGCCGCTTGACCCCCGTTCCCATCGCTACCTCACTGGTGGATGGGTGAGTGCCTGGAGTGCATTCCCTAAACACCTATCCAAACCCTATCATATTTATAGTGGCCCCTACGGCATGGTTGTACCAAATAAACCCGACTTAACGCTCTCCGAGGGACGTGATGAACAGGGATGCTTGCATTTTCCAGGCGGAAGGGTGAGTTCGCCCAAGTCGGTAGGGTAACAAAAGGAATACCCGTCATCACCTAGATTTCGTGAACCCAGGGTTCGCGGCGAAGACTACTCGTACCGGTATACCCGCACCAGCACGTCGCGACTCCCTGATCATGATGCACTCGGTAACTGCACTCGGTAACACTCTGGGGGGATTGTGTGAGGTCATTGGATAGCCCGGGCTCACGCAATCTAGCACGAGCTGGTTCGCTCTTCTCCCCATCTCACCCATGGGAAGAGGCATTGCAAGGGACTTAGGATTGCACTTGGGATGTTTTGCCGTCCCACGGGGAAATATTGGGAATTTATCGCAACTCTAACCTCCTCCTCTCCCCAATCCCTGATATCACTACCGATACCTCACTGCTGCGTTAGTGAGTACGGCGCGTTCCCAGACTACAGCACCGACCCTGGATCCGTTATCTCAAATATCCTATGGTATGATACAAGCTCAATAAAACACAGTGGAATCCCAACCTCCCGGTCAACCAGTACTTGGTCCCATTGCGGCCTATCCTCTCAGGCACTCGGGGATTTGAGTTCCCGCCCTGCAGTTTAAGATCATGCAATCCTACATGAGCTAATCCGGTCGATTATAGCCTACGGTATGATACTACGGTAGTCCCGGCCTCCCACAATGCTGAAGATGGGCTAGTGGGAAATGCCGTTCACACGCTGGATGTGCAATTTCTTGCCCTAAGAACCAGTCTCCCAGATCCGCCGCTCTGCATTTTCTCCGCCACTCGCCTTACCGGCATGCTATTTCTACAGACAAGCCAAATATCGTGCCGATACCACATTCCGTAACCGCCTGCCCAAAGCCCGCCCCTACGGATCCCTACTACGGAGCGCCAGAACGTCCCGCCCCAATTCACACCCCGGATTATCTCTTAAATTAAAACCCCGATTGAAAACCCCCTATACACGCGCTGCCGGCAATCTACCTCCATCACTCATTTTCATCCATCACCGCAATTGCGAAGCCCTAACATGCACACAACGTGGAGGGAATCCGGTACCACATCCGACCAAATACCCCACCCCCCTGTTGGACCTTCTTGGCACAGCCGTCGACTTCACGGACCCACGAAGCGTTTCCCAAGCGGTCTACTAATCAACCAAAGCACTAGGATCACAACCTTTATGCTAAGAATCATGAGCTGCCCGTATGCAGGGCGGCATCAAGCGATTTTTTTTGATGACCCCGTCAGGCCTGTTGGACATCGTTTAGGCTCTTGGTGATGCTGTTCTCGAAGTTGCGTGCGCTGCTAGGGTTGTATATTGTGTCTGAGTGCTGCCCGGTGGGTAGCCGTAGACTAAGCTGTATGTAAATGGGAAGTTATTTGTCATGCTAGATGAGTTAGTAACTTAGTTTGGGTCGGCTTAATTGTGGCCTTTCCATCTGCAAGGGCTATTGGTGATTTCCACTGGGTTCTTGGGGGAACAAGAATGGCTAAGCACGAGCTCTTTGGTCGTGAAGTCCTCTCTCGAATATGACTTTTTGACCCTGGGGAAGTGTGCCATCATCGAGGCCAATCGAGGCCCAGGATATGAGCCATACACAATGGCCCTGATAGCGACGCGGCGGGCGGCGGTCATATCAGCACCGAAAACCTTACCCGACATTAGGGGATACGGGCAAAAGTCAACAGCAGGTACATGGACGCCTACTCAATGTATGGCTGGACTGTGTTCTACACGTTTGCCCCCTAGTGGCTCTCGCTCCTTCCACGACGGCACTGATTCTGGAATTACACCCCTTCTCAAGTGGATGATTTCCGGTTCTGTACTCCTAGTAGGAATCACCTCCTAGGCGGCAGTATCACGCAAACCCCCAGGACGGATCCGATATTCACACAGGAGAGAGCGGGTTTCTTCCAAAAGTGCTGCCCCAATCGAGGGGTATGTTCCCCCAAGGGCTAGAATCTCATAATGGTCCAACAGCCTTGGCACGCTGGCGCTTACAGCCCCAACCCTCCTTCTAAGTTCGCGTCACGACCTCCACTCATTAATAAACTGCGTGACCTACTAGGACCCCAGCTTCTTGCGCCGCTAAGCCGGGCGCAGTGCCCTCGTTAAAGCTACCCTTCGCACCACCGTTACCCAGACCATCACTCCCGGACGACTATCAGCGGCATCCAGAGAGCTCCAAGGGCAGCCTGCCGAAGTACTGTTATACCTAGGAGACAATCGCTCAGGCGCTAGCCATGTGGGTCCCCTTAGGCGGCCTAAAGAGGGCGGTTGGGATCACTGGGCATGAGGTTTTTCCAGAGAGCGCATTATCTGGGAAGGTTATGTTCTTGGGTGGTGTCGTGGGAGAGTGGAGTGGCACTGCTATCAATCAGTGAGTGAGAAATGATGGTAGCGGTGACACTAGCGGTCATGAGGGTAGTGAGACTATTCCCCGACCGGTTCTGCAGACACATTAGAGTAATGTTAATCTACTTCAAGTTAAAATCCACCGGGGAGGTACATTCCCATTCCCTCACTTTTCTACCCCCCCAGTCCATCCGCCAACTCACAACCCCCTAGGTATCGGCCCCTGCCCTGCCGCAGATGCGGTAATCCTACAACAGAACCAGGAAGCCACTGCCGTAGCGCCGCTTCACCTACTGTCACTCGGTCCAGTTCGTTGGGTAGCTGTTGTGACATCACGATGTATCATCTGAGTTTATACCAGTACTTCGGCACCTGTTATTAGTTTCCTTTCTGCCAGCTGTTCTTCCCTGCTCCTTTTCTCCTTACTCAAGAATACATACAATCGAGAAGAACTCCATTCCTATCACCACAGTAGCTCTCGCTTGGCATTCCCAACCCTCCGCGTCCTAAAGGCCACCCCTATTCGCCCGCCAACCTACCGGAGCCCACGGGCACCTATACATAAACTCTTGGAAGGGCAAGCTTCTTAGTTAGCTAATGCCTACTACGCAGGAGACGAATCACCGACAATATTCCACGGCCGTACGGCACACCTGGGCGAGACTCGAGCGGTGGGAACGTACTATGGACAGCCAGCGGTACAGGGGTCTCCGCCACCCTCCCGCTGCAAATCAAATTACTCCGCGAAAGTAGAGTCTATCCTGGGCTTCATCTAGATTTTTTTTTTTTTTTTTTTAACCGCGCGAGAGCCACCAGCGGATCCCGCATGAGCCAAACATCCTCCCCAAACAATCAGCAAAGCCCCCCCGCGCTAGAACCAAAGTTAGATATACCGTTAGGTACCGCCGGTAGTACACCTCTATCAAACAAAACTCAAGCCGCCCCTCCGCAGGAGGTGGAGCAAGCCTACCAACCGGGGCATTCGCCGCGCTGATGTTGAACTTGACCATTCTCCAACGGCCAGAAGGAATTGGTGACCCGCGACTCCCGCGCTTTGGCAATCAGGAGGGGTTCAGATTCTGGCCTCCGGGCCGTCAAGTATTGGTGCACAGTATGGGGGTTGGGTGTGCGGTGGTTTTGTAGTGGAAGAGTATAATGCGAGGACGGTATGAGCGGGTGGGAGCGTGTGCTATGTGAGAATGTATCTCGGTAGTCGTTTATAGTGAGTCGGTGGATTGGTTTTATGTGTGGATGCATATGCACTGTTAACTTTAGTCGACATGCGAATCCACAATAGTCGTGTATCATACCAACTCTCGGAGAAATGCGGGCAGTCACGAAATTGGGGATGCGGTATGATAGTGAG